AGTATAAGGTCAATTATACACTTTACTATTGCGTGTTTTCAAAAAACAATATCGTATTTACTGTAAATGACTATAGTATTATATCATGTGGGCCTCGTCCTTTTATAAATGGCTGAAGGCAGTGATTGAGAGCACAGAATGCGGTCAGCGGGTGAGAAACAGGTGAGGAGAGAGAGATAAACGAGGCCTTGACGGCACAACAGGCCTGACAGGTTTGCAGATCTCCATGAGCATTCCTCAGATTCCTCAGAGAGCTCGTCTCAATCTCACACTGCTGCTCCTGCAACATGGAGTTATTATCTTATAGAGGGGGTTTGCGCTTCTAGATTAGCCTGGTATATATACATGATCAAACTGGCGATACTTAGATATAAATAACAGCTAATGTTATACTGAATATGTTTTTCTGCCGATTTATACTGTCTAAGGCATGGGTCACCAATCTCAGTCCTGGAGGGCCAGTGTACCTGCAGGGTTTAGCTCCAACTTGCCTCCAACACACCTGCCTGGATGTTTCAAGTATACCTAGTAAGACCTTGATTAGGTTGTTCAGGTGTGTTTGATTAGGGTTAAAGCTAAAATCTGAAGGACACCGGCCCTCCAGGACCGAGATTGGTGACCCCTGGTCTAAGGCATGGGGAAAATATGTGGATGGATTTAAAGGGGAGCTATTGTGCGCCTTTTTATAAGATGTAAAAAAAATCTGATGTCTCTAGAGTGTGTGTGTGTGAAGTTTCAGCTTAAATAGCACACAGATCATGCTTTCTTGCTCTCTGAAACTGACCCTTTTAGGCTTTGATCCTAATTGTGGCACTTGGTGACTGTCGCTTTAAATTCAAATGAGGTTGTGCTCTTTTCAGAAGAGGGCGGAGCTACATATTCCTGTGCATCAGATTCAAAATATAGAACCGCCAGCCTGATCTCACGAGGAAACAAAAGTATTTTACGTTTTGTCAGTTTAGTGGCTAATTCGTACGAGTTCAGTCGTACAATAATGTACAATTTTAAAAAAGAGGCATGGCACCAAACCCCACCCCTAACCTCAACCGTCAGTGGGTGATGAGCAAATCGTACTAATTTGTACGAATTATATCGTACAAATTCATACGAATTAACCACTAAGTCAAAAAGTTGCAAATTGCCATGAGATTGCATTGGAACTGCGGTAGATTCAAAACGTTATCCATGTGAAAAACTGAAAATGTGTGCGTCAGTGTATGAGAATGCGTCAGTCTATGGCAGGGGTGCTTAAATTTTTTCTTATGAAGGGCCAAAAAACAAACTTGATTGAGGGAGGTGGGCCAAAGGTAAATATACTAGACTGTATAGCATTAAAGTTGCCATGGCAAGTACCTAATTTATTAATATTTTTAAAAATTGTATAATCATATGAATAATTCTATATATATAAAATATATTTTACATTTTACAATGAACTTCCTAAAATAACAACATAAACAATCCCATTTAGAACACGATGGAGTTCAGTTCCATTGTCTTGTGTAGTGGTGGGCAGTAGCGTCGCTACAAGTAGTGATGCCACTAGCTTACATTTCTCAGTAGCGTGGCGGTAGCGTCGCTACTTTCTAAATCATATAGCTTTCAGTAGCGAAGCTAATTTATTAGTCAAGTAGCGCAGTAGCGTCCACACAAGCTACATTTACAGATTGCAGATCAATAAGTGACAGCACCGACGTTCATGGAGCTGTGAGGCCGGTGTGTCGCCTGTGAAAGTAAATCCATATGATGGCTAGAATGAGGAATTCTTCTTCCTGTTTTACGGTGTTCGACAACAAACTTTTTGCCAACTTAAGCAGGATTCCTCGTGACCATACCTCGAGAAGTACATGTTAAGATGCAATGACTTATTATATATATATATATATATATATATATATATATATATATATATATATATATATATATATATATATATATATATATATATAAATGACTATAGTATTTTAAATGTGTAACACCTTTTATTGGATTTTTTGTTTTAGCTGTTATAATATAATGTGTTTCTGTTTAGTACAGCATATTATTTACAGTAAATAACTGAGCTGAACTATTAAGCCTCATATGTTTCATTGACAGTTATATTGATCACTAAGATATGATTGACTTGGATTTAAGTTGCTTCGATTAAAAAAAAAAAATAGCTTAGATGTAGCTAAGCTACTTTTGCCTTGTAGCTTTTAGCTTAGCTTGCTACATTTCCCAGGGGGTAGCTTTTAGTGTAGTTAAGCTACTTTTTAAGTAGAGTAGCTAATAGCTAAGCTCACTACATTTTTCAAGTAGCCTGCCCAACACTGGTCTTGTGTATTGTCTGTCTGTCAAGTAACAGTATTTACATTTAACATTTAAACAAATCTGATTAATTCACAACATTTAACTGGAATATTTAATTTCAGTTCGCTTTTTTGTGGCTCAACAATTAAACAACAAACAAAAGGATTGTGTTCAATTAGAATTGACGAACTCTGTTGAGGCAGCGCTCAGTGGCGCTATAGGGAAATTGATGAACTAAATCAGGGGTGTCCAAGCTCGGTCCTGGAGGGCCTGCATATTTTAGTTCCAACCCAAATTAAACACACCTGAACCAGCTAATCAAGCTTTTTCTAGGTATACTAGACTTCCAGGCAGGTGTGTTGGAGGAAGCTGGAGCTATGTAGGACACCGGCCCTCCAGGATTGAGTTTAGACACCCCTAAACTAAATTGTCTATAGCAGGGACGGGCAAACTCGGTCCTGCAGGGCTGGTGTCCTGCACAGTTTAGCTCCTACTCTAATCAAACACACCTGCTTATAGATTTCTAGACATCTTGCAGACACTGATTAGCTTGTTCAGGTGTGTTTAATTAGTGTTGGAGCTAAACTGTGCAGGACACCCGTCCTCCAGGACCGAGTTTGCCCATCCCTGCTATAGTTCAATTTAATTAGTGTATAAGTGTGTGTGTGTGTGTGTGTGAATTAGTGTGTATGGGTGTTTCCCAATACTGGGTTGGAAGGGCATCCACTGCATAAAAAATATGCCAGAATAGTTAGAGGTTCATTCCGCTGTGGCGAGACCTGAAGAATAAAGAGACTAAGCTGAGGGAAAACGAACGAATGAATGAATGAATATTATATACCAGATTTCCATGTGGAGACATGATGAGAACAAACTTGATTGCTTTCAAGATTCTTGCCTACTTCAGTTTGGCCAATCACAAACACCTTTTGTTTTTCAGTAGGAGTGGTCGATACTGCAAAAGCTTGAATCTCAATACCAAGTAATTACTGTTCCAGTATCGGGGACATCGATACAGATACCAATACTTTTAATTTCCTTGTTTTTTAGTGAATTTTAGTGGAAAGTATTATATTAAAAGTATTTAAAAAAATTAAACAGCTTCAGGGGTGTCATGGTGGCGCAGTGGGTAACACGATCACCTCACAGTAAGAAGGTTGCTGGTTTGAGCCCCAGCTGGGTCAGTTGGCGTTTCTGTGTGGAGTTTGCATGTTCTCCCCATGTTGGTGTGGGTTTCCTATGGGTGCTCCGGTTTCCCCCACAGTCCAAACACATGCGCTATAGGGGAACTGATGAACTAAATTGGCCGTTTATGAGTGTGAATAAGTGTGTATGGATGTTTCCAGTGTTGGGTTGCAGCTGGAAGGGCATCCGCTGTATAAAACATATGCTAGATAAGTTGGCGGTTCATTCCCCTGATTAATAAAGGGACTAAGCCAAAAAGAAAATGAATGAATGAATGAATGAATGAATAAACAGCATCAAAAACACACCTCAAACCCTTCCTAAAACCCACAACAACAGGAGAAATAATCATACTATTAATAATAACTATAATCACAATAATAAAATACACTTGAACCTATATTTATGTTGTGTCATGTTCGCAATATGTACATTATGCTAACAGATTTTCCATTCATTTAAGTATTCATTCATTTCCTTGCTCTTCCAGACTGGGAAAATTTACTTACCCAGTACTGGGACAAATTATAGATAATCTGATATCATAATAATCAAATATAATACAATTATTCAATAAATTAAAAATGTTAATATTGTATATTATTTTAAGTGTTGTTTAATGATTATGCAGTGTTTACAACCTCTTATTATTTGTGAGCCTTTCATTTTGCCTATAGGTAGAATTTATCCAATATTTCCATTGTTCATTCATTCATTCATTTTCTTTTCGGCTTAGTACCTTTATTAATCTGGGGTCGCCACAGCGGAATGAACCGCCTACTCATCCAGCATATGTTTTATACAGCGGATGCCCTTCCAGCTGCAACCCATCACTGGGAAACATCCATACGCACTCATTCACACACACACTCACTATGGACAATTAAGCCTATGCAATTCTCCACATCTTTGGACTTGTGGGGGAAACCGGAGCACCCGGAGGAAACCCACGCCAACACGGAGAAAACATGCAAACTCCACACAGAATTGCCAACTGACCCAGCTAAGGCTTAAACCAGCGACCTTCTTGCTGTGAGGCGACAGCAATTAATTAATTCATTTTCTTGTCGGCTTAATCCCTTTATTAATCTGGGGTCGCCACAGCGGAATGAACCGCCAACTTATCCAGCACGTTTTTACGCAGCGGATGCCCTTCCAGCCGCAACCCATGTATGGGAAACAAATATAATACAATTATTCAATGAATTAAAAATGTTAATACTGTATGCTATTTTGATTATTGTTTAATGATTATGCAGTGTTTATAACCTCTTATTAACTGCGAACATTTCATTTAGCCTATAGAATTTATCAAATATTTCTATTGTTACCCTTTTAATTTCTTATATAATTTAATATTTCATTAAATATTTAATATAATTTATACTTAACCTGTACAGCAACAGGCTTGACGTACACTTTCCTTAGATTCCTACACTCACGCATAAGTAATGTTGTGAAGTCGAAGCTCCTCCCATGCTGATTGTTTGTGTTGTGAATAATTAATGAGCGCTCGTGTCAGTCTGTGACCCCGCCCAGCGCAGAATCCGGGCGGCTGAACCCCGGCGAGCAGTCACTCAGGAACGACACACACACATAAGGAGACATACAGACACACGGGATTTCCAGAAGGACCGAGACATACTTTGGGGAATATAATATTTCATTTCAGCGCTCGTGTAAATCTCTGAACCCTTCCTGGCCGGGTTCACTAACATCTGTGTGGATACGAGCAGTTCGTCTGACCCGCCGCTTGAACAGGTGAGTCGATTCACCTCTACCTGTCCATCTGAACGAATCGTGTCGATCATGCTGTGATAGTAATGTAGCTGCTGGTTATTATGACGACCGATGTTGATGTTGTTGTTAGCCAGCTAACGAGTTAGCTGACTGTTTGACTTTGAGTTCATAACGTAGCATCCGGCTAAGTCATCTGCTAGCCAGCGACAAGCCTAATAAATTCACTCAAGCTGATGACTTGTGTGAATAAAACATTGAGACCACGATATTGTGTGTTTAATGTCAAGGGTTTGGCTTTGGTTAACCGGTTTAGCGGTTAGGTTTGTTTGTAGAAGAGTTGCTAGCGGCTAGCCGGTTAGCAGCTCACCTGCCACTGATTCACAAACCTTTAACACTACAGACAGCAGTACAGTGGCCAGCTCTCGTGTATTCTGTCTTTATGGGCATCAGAGAAAAGGAAAATCTCTATGTTATCAGCTATTATTTAGCTATTGACGTGTACTTGACTGTGTTTTCATCTGCTGGGCATGGTTAGCTGGTATATTCTGCAGTTATTCGACTTAAGACAGAAGAAGGTGACATAAGTTTCTTGAGGTATGTCAACTTCATTTGTCTTATGCATATTTGTGTTTCTTTTAAATGTCAATTTGCTGTCACACAACTTTATCCCAGTGACTGTGAACTGTGTTTGTAGCTGTCACAGACTCCAAAATGATGCTTTGGATAATAGTGAACAGTCAGTAATGATTATATTCAAGATTACATAACAACAAATCAGTCTGAGTCACATATTTCCCATACCAGCATCATGGGTGATACCAGAAGATTGAGGTTAAGTATATTCGCACATTCAGACTTCTCCCAAATAATATAATTTCAGAAAAGGGTGCAATTTCTGCATGGGGAAATCGTACAAGCAGCCAATGACTGTCAAAGTACACCATTGTTCACGGTCAATTAAATTGTGCTTATGTTGTTTTGAAGTCATACTTGCATGCTATTTCAGAACGAATATTTGGTGTCGCATGGTCAACAATATGTAGAGATAAAGTTGGTTTTATGTTCGCACATTCGTTCGTTTTAACAGTCTCTATATTGTTTACCATGTTACTTTGAATATTCGGAATTAGCATGCAAGCATGACTTCAAAACAACATTAACACTATCTGATTCACTGTGAACAATGCTGTACTTTGATAGTCATTTGCTGCTAATATGATTTCCCTATTTACAATTTGCAAAGAATACTTTTCTTAAATTATATTAAGGAGAACGTCTGAATATCCGAATATAAAACCAGCTTTACCTCTATAAACAATATAGGGACCTTTGAAATAAATGAATGTGCAAACATAAAACTTATTTTACCTCAATTGTGAAGAGTGAAATGGACACTGGTTTGGTTAAAAATCTGTCAAAATGCCTGTCTTGGTGTGTTTATCTTGTCTAATTATGTCTTAAATGAGCACAAACTGCTTAGAAAGTCATTTAGGGCTGTATATTTTGATATTTTTGCTTTTAAACTATAGAAACTTATAAGATATAATAAAATAAAAATAGTCTAGGGCAGCATGGTGGCGCAGTGGGTAGACCGATCACCTTACAGCAACAAGGTTGCTGGTTTGAACCTCGGCTGGGTCAGTTGGCATTTCTGTGTGGAGTTTGCATGTTCTTCCCGTGTTTGTGTGGATTTCCTCCAGGTGCTCTGGTTTCACCCAGACCAAACACATGTGCTATAGGGGAATTGGGTAAGCTTAATTGTCCATAGTGTATGAGTGTGAATGGATGAGTCTCAGAGATGGGTTGCAGCTGGAAGGGCATCCGCTGCGTAAAACATATGCTGGATATGTATATATATATATATATATATATATATATATATATATATATATATATATATATATATATATATATATATATATATATATATATATAAATATTTATTTATATGTATATTTATATTTATATATTTATATATGTATATTTATATATATATATATATATATATATATATATATATATATATATATATATATATATATATACATACATATATATATATATATATATATATATATACATACATATATACACACACACACACACACACACACACATACACACATACATACATAAATACTTTTTTTTTTCTTTTTGTTTTTACGTGCATTTTGTATATGGAAATGCCAAGATGTGCATAGATTTACAAATCTGCATAAACAACCTACGAAATAAGTAAAAATGTGCATAAACTATGATGCAAACATATTTAAAATTAAATTCCAGCATTGGCATCAGTAAAGTGATGTGATTTAGTTTGAACAGTTGATGAAGATGTGTGTGATGGGATGCATTAATGGGCACAGCAGCATTTTGAGCACATTGCACAGCCGGGATGTCAAACTCAATTCCTGGAGGGCCGCAGCTCTGCACAGTTTAGTTCCAACCCTAATTAAACACACCTGATCAAACTAATTGAGTCCTTCAGGCTTGTTTGAAACCTACAGGTAAGTGTGTTGGAGCAGGATTGGAACTAAATTGTGCAGGGCTGTGGCCCTCCAGGAATTGAGTTTGACACCCCTGTTGTAAAGCATCTGAAATGTTGTCTACATGTCTACTGTTGTTTTTGTTGTTTTTGTCGCAAAAAACTGCTTTTGATTGAACTGAAGAAGGGATTTGGGGTGATTTTGGGTTTTAACATATTGGGGGGAATTTCTCCTATTTTCAGATTACAATGTTGACACTTTGATCCTGCCATTTTGCAGCTTCTCCCACACCAGCGTTACCTAGCAATATCTTCCACGTTGTATGACTCAAACATACTGCGGTTCACAATCAAAAGCCACAGTTGTGTTCGGTCTATGGCAAACCAATTAAAATACCAATCAATGTCAAACTCTGGTGCAAACCAGCCAATCGAACCACATGTAAAGCACCCTCAACAATGGCTTCTGCTCTTATCTGCTTGCAGAGTATTTAAAGGTCCAGTAAAGTGCTTTGAACTACATAAAAATATAATAAAATTTGAAATGTAATTTTTTTTTATTCGATGTTTGACGTAATCTCAACCAAAACATGAACACAGGGCAGGACATAGACACATAGTGCCCTTTTAAAATAAAACAGTCAATAGCATTTTGTTTTTATCACAGCTCTACCAGCTATGTGTCCATCCAAAAATGCGAATAAATTTTATGCGCAAAACTCGAATATCGCATAAAGGTTGTGCGAATGAAGCATCGTTTCCATTCAACGAGACAAAGCGTCACTTCCTGATTAACTGGCGCCAAATATCAACAGTAAAAACTGCATTTGCTGCAGTAGGAGAAGCTGCATCAATCTTTTTAAAATGAATGCGCCTCAGAAGACAATCCTGACAAGCAGTGAGCGCGCAGTGGCATTTGAAGGTGTCAGACGCGGAGTACAGGCACTCTTGATTCTGGCGGTCATTAATAATGTAATAACATTAATACTGAAATGGTGAGGCGTTTTATAATGACCAAAACAACATTTCAGATGTTTTATAATGTGCTCAGCCTGACGTTTTATCCATTCACACACATTTTAAGCATCACATGATCTCTTTCAACAAAATCACATTACCTTTTTTAATGCGCATGCTGGAGTTTGTGCGGTAAAAGTGTTTCCATCGCAGTTTATGCGCATCTTTTCTTATCGAATAAAAAGTTTATCCTATCCAGTTAGCCGCATGCGTTTTTTATGCGCATTTTCAAAATTTATGCGCATCATGGCGTTTCCATCAACTTTTTTTATGCGCATTTGCAAAAAGCGCATACAATAGGTGGATGGAAACATAAGTGAGAGTGGTTAAGCTCAAGCACATCAAATTAAAAGAAAGGGGTAGGGCATGTCAGATACTAGAGAGCATTAGATTGGTCAGTAGATTTGATGAGAAACTGAAGTATGAGGTGACAAGAACACAACTGTTGATCCATTTAGGCGGAAGTGATAAAGTACAAGCTTTACATGTTTATATATTCTAAATGCAAATTTTGTCACCGTTTTGAATATCACTAGCTTTGAATTCCCTGCATGACACCTCACTATATATACTTTTTTTTTGTTGTTGTTGACATTTACTGTGCTTCTTTTTATTTTTTATTGATATATATATATATATATATATATATATATATATATATATATATATATATATATATATTGCGTTACTTACATTTTATATGTGTTACCATGATGGTTTTTAGTAGTGAGCACCTTGTATTGTTCAGATATAATACAGGAATACCAATTAACCTTGGCTTTCCATCGCGAGGAAACAGGTTTTGTTGTAGCGTACACGATGACCTAGACTGGTATGAGGGTTTGGCTCTTCTCAAAAGCTTGATAACATTGGGAAACGAGTGAATCCAGTTGATGAGTCATCGGAATAGGAGTTGCTGTCAAACGACACGCCTCTGATGGGTTTCTCTTTGTGGGATGAAGTCATTCCTCATTTCCTTATAGTGGCCAGGCTGTGCCAAGATACGAATGGAGAAGCGGCTCTTATCTATTTACTCAGCTACCTTTGGCTCCAGCTGTCCTGGGCTGCTCAGAGGTTAATCATTGTCACGTCCAAAACTCTGCACCCTCACCAGTATGCTCAGATCATGTTTTGATATGATTGTGCTCAAAGTTGTATTCACTGTAAAAAGCCATTGGTTGACTTTACTTAAAGCGAGTAAACCTGTTTCTTTAAAAAAAACAACAACTTTATTTTGATTTTAGAGCACATTGTTGATTTTACTCAGTGTGTAAAACCGTTGCTTTTAAAGGGCTTACTTAAAACAATTGAGTAAACCCATTGTTTTTAAAGTACTTAGTTGATTTGACTTAAAAAATTGAGTAAATGTGTTTTACTTAAAACGCTTGTAAACCCTTTGCTTTTAATGTGCTTAGTTGATTTTAAAGCGCTTAGTTAATTGTACTTAAAATAAGTGAGTACACCTGTTAATTTTGTTGAATTTTCTTAAAGTCAGTAAACCCACTGATTTTACAACACT